CCCTCATCCTCCCACCCATCCATCCATCCATCCACCCATATATCAATCCACCACCCATCTATCCATCCATCCACTCATCCATCCATTCATCCATCCATCCATCAATCCATCCATCCATCCATCTATTCATCCATCCATCTATCCATCTATCCATCCATCCATCCACACATCCATCCATCCACCCACCCACCCAGCTAACCATCCATCCATCCACCCACCCATCTATCAATCCATACATCCATCCATCCACCCATCCGTCCACCCATCCATCCATCCACCCATCTACCCATCCATCCATCCCTAATATGTAGTGAGGCCTCTGCACCAGGCTTCCTGTTGGCCTACTGCTTGTGTAATGGAAACAGACAGAACACCCTCTCTCCCGCCTGGCCGGTGTGCTCATGGGTGAGGGGGTGACATGCCCCAGGTGGTCCCAGGTTCCATTCCTCATTAGGGCACATACCATGGTTTCTGGCATGAGCCTCAGTAGGAGGCCTGCAAAAGCAACCGATCCATGTTTCTATCTCCCTCTCCCTCTCCTGTCCTCTCTCTCTCAACATCTCTAAAGCAAAGACATAACTGAAAACCTGAGCTCTCCTGATGCGCACAGTGTGACAGAAAGGACAGGGAATGATGAGAATGCACACAGCAGGGACTCACATGGGCTGTGCTCCCGGCATCTGTGGCCAGAAACCACAATCCCACAGTCACAGCCTTGACTCCTCCTGTTCTGCGGGCTGACTGCGCTCAGTGGCACCTCTTCTGCTCTGTGTGACACAGGCTGGGGTGGGGTCATTGGAGGTCCAGCCAGACCAGAACATTCTAGAGGGTCCCTGACTGGGCAGCAGCTAGTGCTGGCTGCCGGCTGGGAGGTCTCTGGGCTGTGAGGTGGGTGCTGCTCCCAGCTGGGCCCCTGGCTCCAGGGGGTGTGGGCCAAGGTCACAGGTCAGACCCACAGGCCCCTCATGTCACACCCACAGCCCCTCATGTCAGACCCACAGGCCCCTCATGTCAGACCCACAGAAGTGAGGCTCTGTCACCTCCATTCTGTTCTGGTTCCCAGAGCTGGTCACAGGTCCCAGGGGAGGGAGGCCCACCTGTGGGAGGGGTGGGAGGACCCATCACAGAAGAACAAGTGGGCGGGGATAGTGTGGATTCATCTTTGGAAAAACAAAACCCAAAAACCTGCACAGTGAGTGGAAGTGAGAGAAGAAATGGGGAATATTTTAATTAATAAATTTAACTAATGACTGCAAAGTGGAGGAAGAGGCCCACTGTCAGCAGGTGGTGAGGGGGCACCCTGAGGGCATGTGCGGCCTGAGGAGGTGAGGGCTGAGCCAGGCGGGTGTGTGAGGGCACAGCCTCCCAGGGCAGCCCTGTGCCCACAGCCAGGCTCTGAGGGGCAGGCACTGAGCTGGGCGGAAAGGGAGGGGCTGACTCTTTAGAGAGAGGGCAGGA